ATCATTTTCTCTTTATCCTTTTATACCTTACTTTTTACATAAATACACATAATCTAAAATTAAAATTACAATCCTTTTCTAGTCTGGCATTTTCCCCCAAATGAAGCCCCTGATGAGGGTTTTAGCTGTTTCGGCATGTCCTTGGTTTGTTTTTTTCTTGAGCATCAACACTTTGCCAAGGACGTTATCCCTTGCACACTGCAAAATATGACCTTACCGATCAGCCAGTACGATTTTCATAACTATTTTAAATTTGAATATTTTATGGTTATGAAAAAGATTTTGTGACAAAAAGTAGTAATTAAAAGTAAAAATAAAAAAAGCAGTTATTTATAGTCAGAAGATCATGGAGTGCAGAAACGTTCAACAGCACAGTTATTGTTACGTGTTCGAATTATTCCAACACCTCCGAAAAGGTAGTTTTTTTCTGACATATTTTTTCGACAAAAATAAATGAAATGCAAAAACTCACAGAATTTTAATCAGTGATTCACATTTTGCAGCCAAAGATTGCTGTGGGACCAATATCGAAATATGCGCTATCCACCAGGATATTTTCCACGAGATGATTTGCGGGATAAAGCGAATATCCTGGACTGGAATGCCGATCATCCGCATACCAATTTCAAAGCCCTGTATCAGCATCTTCGAAGCAGCGGCTACTACATCGAAGTAAACCTCTTCTTCTTGTAAATGATGAAAAAATATGTCGAAAATACTGAACAGATAGAATGGAATAGGAAGATTCAAGTTTAGTATTTAAGGTTAAGTGAAAATTTTGTTAGAAAATGTAGAAATGGATGATAGAAAAGGTCAAATTCCATGTGGAATAAACTAATGCGCATGGTGGTGGGGACTGGGCGATAGTGTTTTGGAATATGTTTTATAAACAACGTGACATATTCATATCTCATGTTGTGCTGAGAATATCTAGGAGGAATATTTCCCTCTGTTTTTCATCCCTTAGCTGTAAACATAGACAACTGCAGGTTTGATTAGGGGTGGGAATCATCAGTACAGCTCCCTAGCCCAAATTCAAATTGAACGAGAATGAAAGTGTTTGCTACTAAGTTCACATCATTTAGGTACTGGGTGAACCGTTGACATGCGTGGATTTGAGTTACTATTCAGTGTATTTACTGGTCGATCCAGAAGATGAGTTTTTTCCGGGTGAGCGTGAAAAACTTTTCACGGAAGTGACTCACAACGGCTTAAATATGATCGTTTTTGCGGACTGGTACAATGCTTCCGTAATTGACAAAATCCGATTTATGGATGAGAATACGAAGTAAGTTACGCTGTTCCTCGGCGCAATTCTTTTTGCTGATTGGATTTTTTTTCATTTTTTTTTGTATTTTTTATATATTTTTCCAAAAAAAGAGAATTCTTTGACTTTAATTTTTTTAGAAAATTCTTTGGTTTTAATGCTTTTCGCGAGCTGTTAGTAAATTGAGCTTTGACTGATTTTGATCAATTTATCATTTTGCTGAGCCGTATCTCTTGTATTCAGGCAATGGTGGCAACCGGAAACTGGTGGAACAAATTTACCAGCACTGAATGATCTGCTGGCGAATTGGAATATTACTTTAGGGGCACAAGTATTTTTTTTTTTTTTTGAAATTACAATTCTTTAAGATTTACTCGTAATGAATTAGCTTTCTTTTGGGATGTTTTAAATAGATTAATTCTGGCAAATATGAATAGCAGAATAAAGGGCTCTTTTGAAGGTTCTGGATGGCGTAGCAACGATTGGGCGTACACCAGTGAAATATCTTTCGGGAACGTCGATTATTGCTGCTCCAGCTGAGGCGCTTATCGCTTTTGCAAACTTAACTGATTTGGTACATTTTGGACTTAGTTGAGGAAGTTGTAAAATGCTGTTTTCCCATCTCTTTATACTTTTTTTGAAAAACCTGTTTGACTTTGGCAGCTATGAACTTTTGATTTCTCAAAATTTCTGTTAACAAGATTTGGGCTTTAGAATTACTACTTTGCTATTTCTTTCCTTCCCCCTCTGCTCCACCTCCTCTTGCTCCTTCTCGCCCCCCTTCGGATCTCGAAGTCGGTCCTCCACTTGTCCGCTTCTACCAAAAGAAAGAAGTTTTTTGAATTCTGAGCTCGGGAAACAGAAAAGCTGGGAGGCTGAAATTTTCCCCTTGAGCCCCTCTCCCCCTATTCTCATGTTTACTCGATTCTTCGCTTGTCCGCTTCCACCAAAAGAAAGAAGTCTTTTGAGTTCTGAATAATTTAAATCCATTCATATACTTGATAATTGAAGCGGCTATTAGTTCACCCCCTCTGACTCATATTCGGTTCTATTCATAAATCTAGTATGTTCGTTTTTTCTTTTTTTTTTTTTAATTTTTCGTCGATCTGCCATCGCTTTATTTTTAGGGAGCAGAAATGATAACAGACGAGAAAACGGATACTTTGTATGAATCGGCCATTTTCATTTATTACAAAAATCTCCAACTCTCAAAAACGTTAGTTTTGAAAGACTTTATCAGTTTTTTGCTAATTGAGTAATTTTATTTTGCGGAATTCATAAGTTGGGAGAAGTTTGCCATTTTTTGGGGAGGCGGTTTGCGTTCAGAATGAATTAGCCAGCTTTTTATTCAGTCAAATCCGTTTTGTTGTGCCATCATTGTGGAAGAGAGCTGGGGGAGGGGGGGGG